ACTTTCCCTTGATACCTACAATTACCTCTAGCTACAACTCGCTCGCCTTCCTTTTATAACCAAAATTCCTGAAAACACTTTCTAAGCTCACTTCTCCACTTTCCATCCTACTCACTTGTTGGCCAACTATAACCGGATTTCTCTCCCTGACTACTGGAGTAGCTCTTCTAGAAAAGTTCTGGATGACCTCTTCCTCAGAAGGACGTTTGTCAATCTTTTTTTTAAATCTGCAGTGTTTAATGCTACTGACTATTCCTGTCCCAAAATTCTTTCCTCCTTGGTGTCCCTCTACCTCCTAGGTCACTCCCAGTCTTCCCACCAGGCTTCTCTTCTTCTCCCTCTTTAAATGTTGAAATGTCTACAGGTTATGTCCCCAGTTCCTTCTCACTTAACTGAATGATGTCACTGCACACCAATTAGGAAATGCTTACCCCAGCCATAATCAACAATCCACTAATTTATCACCTCTTGCCTCTTTGCCAGGCCCTTCCCAGACTCTGTCCCACAGACGTCTCTCCTCACTTGTGTGCCTAACAAATTCATCCCTCAAAAAATCAGCTCACCTACACTAGGAAGTCTTCACTAACTTTGCCTCTCTCCCCAACAGTCCACCCCCTGCAACAAACACAGCACTAATTACGGAAGATGTTTTATAGTTTTTTAACTTCCTCCCACTAAACACTGAGCTCCTTGAGGATGGGAACTACACCTGGACTACATAAGACATGTAACTAACTTTGGCTGAGTCAATTGTTACACAGTGAATACACTGCAATATGAATATGCAATGGGAACACTTACTGATAAATATTATGTAATAAATGATACATATATTACTTAACATACAGTTGAGAGACAGCATTTGTCCATAAGCAAGGAATATAAAATAAGTCATAAATACTATTCCGATGCACTTTTAACCAGTCATAGTTTTAAACAAATGGTAACAAATGCTCTTCCCCTGATCTATCAAGCTGGCTGTATGAGCCTTCTTTAGTTTTGTTTCAGAGTCTTTGTGCTCACTGCTCCCTCTCTTTGGAGAATGCAGATTTTCCAAATTCTGACATGGCTGGCTCCTTCGTGCTATTTGGGTCTCAGCTCAAACGTCACCTTTCCAGATATCTTCCCTGACCGTGCATGCTAAAGCAGTACTCCACCACAACCTCAGTCTTCGCCATTACCCTCTTGTTTCTTCATGACACGTGATCACTATGTGAAATCACATTATTTGTTAACGTATTTATGTTGGTCTCCTGTTTACCACGTTATCCTCTGTACATCAACAGTGTGTAGCTTATGTCAGTACTCACTAAACACTTGTTGGATGAATGAATGACTGCGAGAGAGAGAATGAGAGGAAGTGTCACACTAATAAACCAGTAGCAAATGGCAGGGATTTCTCCACTGAAAAAGAAACGTTATTCATCACCCACGGGGGTAGGGATAGGCAGATGTATTATTCTTCCTCAGGATCAGAATTTTGACTTCACAAGGGCCACACAACTTCTTATCTAAAGGAAATCATGTCCCTCTCAGTGGGTAGTCCTGCCAGAGAAAAGTTTTAAAACACAGTAACTGCTCACACCTAGTCTTGCCAAAAGACCAGTCCTGGAAAAACTACCTAAACTCCATGAACAATAAGCACCATAAGCACTGTCAACGTTGCCTTCCTGGCACATGGCATAGTTCCAGTTCATAGCAGACACCCAAAATGTCTGTTAAGTGGGCACATAAGACATGGTCTTCTGAGGAATGACCAGCCTATCAACTCTTATGCTGTGGATACGCTTATTTTAGAAACAGGGCAAGGCAGCATCAGCGGTCTTGGCCTAAGCCTCTCCCTCGGGCAACAGTTTGTCTCCTAGAATTCTATACACATCAACCCAATTCAGTACCTATGCGCCATAGGTAATAAACTACTACTCTCCCCAGAGTCACCCTATATCATTTTCGAGTAAACTTTGCCAATGCAATATAATAGTTAATACCGTATAGCAACCAATAACAGATTTTGCTTGCCTTTTTAATTTTTAAAAAACATGTAGTTTAATCGGTATTGTGGATTGAATTGTGTCCCCCCAAAATATGTGTTAAATCTTAACCCCTATACCTGTGGATAAGGAAACCTGGTGGCACAATAGTTAAGCGCTTGGCTACAAACCAAAAGGCTGGCAGTTCAAACCCACCCAGCAGGTCTGCAGGAGAAAGATCTGATGATCTGCTCTCGTAGAGATTACAGTCAAGCCAAAAGTTGTATGATAGATATGTTTACACAACGACAAAAAAAAAAAAAAAGAGAGAGAGAGAGACAGAAAGTAGCTGCTGAGGCTGCTTATGTACAACCAAACACCTCATGCAATTTGGTTCCTTGGTTTGGAGGTTTAGGGTCATGCTTTCACGGGTCATCCCAGTTAACTGACCTAATAATATGTTTAGTGCTTCTGTTCTACTTTCCAGTTCCTTATGTAGTGCCTGGGGTCTTAAAAGCGAGCAAGCAACCATTCAAGCTACCACAATTTGTCTGTTTGCCTGGAGCAATAGAGAAAGAAGAAAGAGTCAGGAATAGGAAAAGGAAATAGCCTATGCGGCTAACTGCCTCCATAAATAACTGCCCTTTTGCCAAGAGACCAGAACTGGATGGTGCCCGGCTACCATTACTGAACATTTTGCTTAAAGATTCTATAGAAGAATCCTGACCAAAATGGGGAAAATACAGAATTTCAAATTCTCACAGAACTCGGATTTTCTGGAGCAATGGGGGCTGGATGAACCCCTGAAACTACTGCCCTGAGATAATCTTTAAACCTTACACCAAAAATATCCCCTGACGTTTTCTTAAAACTAAACAATAGTTGAGTTTAACTAGTAAAGAATACCTGCCTTGAGCACTGTGCTATTTTAAGATCTACCTATACAGAATCAAACTGACAACAGTAACTCCGAAGATTAGACAGGAACCTTAGGGGGCAGTGAGTTTATGTTAATGGGGCAGGAACAACTCAGAAATGGAGGGTGAGAATGGTTACGCAACTTGAAGAACGTGATCAATGTCACTGAATTGTACATGTAGAAATGGTTGGATTGGTGTATGTTCCGCTGTGTATATTCTCAACAGTAACAGCAAAAATAAAATAAGATTACAGCCCAGAAAACCCTACAGGGCCATTCTACTCTGTCATATGGAGTCATTATGACTCTGAATCGACTAGATGGCCCCCAACAACAACATTCTTGTGGATGTGATCCAATTGGGGATACGGTTTTCTCTGTTATGTTAATCAAGCCATAGCAGTGTAGGGGGTGCTTTAAACCTAACGACTTCTGAGATATAAAAAGAGCAGATTAGACACAGAGAGAGGCAAACAAGTACAAATGGGGGAAAGATAGATGCCATGTGGGGATCACCAAGGAAGAGAGGAACAGAACCTTAAAGAGACAAAGATTTTCCCCCAGATGGGACAGATAGCCTTTCCCTTGAGCCAGTTCCCTGAATTAGGACCTCTAGCCTCCTAGAGAAAATAAATTTGTTAAAGCCACCCATTTGTGGTATTTTTTTTGTTACAACAGCACTAGTAAACTAAGACAGTCAGCAAGGCAAAATCAAAAACCAAACCAAACCCGTTGCCATCCAGTCGATTCTGACTCACAGGGACCCTATAGGGCAGAGTAGAACTCCCCCATAGAGTTTCCAAGGAGCGTCTGGTGGATTCAAACTGCCTATCTTTCGGTTAGCGGCCGTAGCTCTTAACCGCTACGTCACCAGGGTTTAGCAAGGTAGCTCGAAATGCTAAAAGACCAACTAGGATTGAAGAATTCTACTGATCGTTTCCCATCCACCAGCGCACGGCTCACTGTGTGATCCTGGGAAAATCCCACCACCTTCATGACTGTTAGCTTCATCAACAGTAATAATGTTCTTCATTGAAGTGATAGTTTGAGAAAGATTAATTAGCAAGTAGTTGCAACGTACTCTGAGGCCAATGCATGAAAGAGGTCATAAATCTAACTATGAAATGAGTGAAATCATAAATATTAATTTAAACTCACTTCAAAACCTGAAAAACTGGCTCCGATACTAACTCTCAGACTAACACAAGTAATCACATAAAACGATCTGTGACATTCACAAGAGATCTTTAATTTGTAAATGTCAAACGTTTGTGTACTCTGGCAACACTGACTTCACATGTATACAGATGTGAAGCATTAAAAGTGACAAACATATCATAAAATTAACTGTCAGTGGATCAGTGCCTAATCTCGGTGCTGTTTAGTTAACTTACAGCCCACTTTACCAAACATCAATGAAATATACTCAATTTTCGTGAGACACATAAACTGCTGTTTAAAAGGCTGTGCATACTTCTCTGCCCCCTACCACTACTGACACCAAGTCAATATCTTAGCAACATACAGCAGCAAAGTGCGTTTTCTCGCCAAACCACTTCGAACTTGTTTGGACTTTAAAGCACTTTAATCACTTTGTGTTTGTCTCAAAACTCGAGAGAGAGACGGGGGAAGAAACAAATCTAAGCACAGCTGAGGGGTCAGCTCCTGAAGCAGAGGCTGAAATCTGCTTCTGGGGCAGAGTCGGGTCGGTCCGACCGCAGCCTAAATGAATGGAACAAGGCGACTGGGACACCGCAAGCTTCCAGCATCGCCTGTCCCGGGACAGCCTCTTCGTTCAGCCTGGCACTTTCAGCTTGCGCCTGGCACACACGTCTCAAAGGGTAAGGAGCCGGAGCACCCAGCCTGACCCTAACTGCCCGGCCCACAGCTCACAGCGGCGGGACTTAGTCACCACTCGCACCCTCAGGCTGAGGCTGGGGCGGTCCTGCTGCCCCCCCGGGGGCAGGAACAGCTGAGGTTCCGCGCGGAGACGAAGAGTCCCGCCCCAAACCTCCTGCAAACCAGAGGGTCGCCGGTGCCCCCACTCTCCTCAAGGAGGTGCCCAGGGTGGCGTGTAGGGGGCAGCCAGGATGGCGGCGGCCAGTACTCACAAAGCCCACTGGAGCCAGTGCTGGTGAACATGGTCCCGCCGGGCCCGGAGCCCCCGTGGGAGGGAGAGGGGGAGGGGAAGCGGTAGCAGCGAGACCCGGCGACCGCGCAGGCGCACTGCCGGCGGGGCGGCGAACTCGGCAACTCGATTACACTCGAGGGCCTCCTGACGTACAGGGCATGCGCGGCCAATGGGGCGCACATGCTCGTCAGCCCTCTCCCTTCCTGCCGGGGAAGGGAAGTGCGTCCACAGCAGGACGGGTCCGCCTCCTGGTGTGCATTCGACGGCCAAGGTGGCCCTTTGGAGGAGCAGAGGTGGAACCTCCGAGAGCCGCAGGTGTCTGCCCAGCGCCGCCCCTTTCCGCCGCAGTTACAGCGGGTTCCTGTGGAACGCTGGCACTGGGCTTTCTTCGCGACCTCTGCTCCAGTCTTCCCGGACGGCACGGAGCGCGGGCGCCGGGCGAGTTGCACGCATGCTCAGTCGGCCTGCTGCGTACCGAGGCGAAGCTCGCTCCGCCGGGGAATGTTGAGAGTTAGAACCGTCTAAAGTTCCGGAGTCCAAATCCGAGAGGACGCTCTGCCGACCTCGCGGCGCTGGAAGAGGAGCCGGAGCTGGACGACCCTCCCCGTCGCGGAAAGCGGGGCTGTCTAGCTTCTTACCCCCACCCGTTTTTCCCACTTCGATCCCACCCGAATCTCTACACAGTGCGCGGAGTGGCCAGGACCCCCTGGCCGGACGGAGTCTTTGGCGGAGCGACGCTGCTCTCCAAACTTCTACCCTGGCGTCCTTCCAGACTTCGGACTCTTAAAATGAATTCTAAAGCATTTACTTTTTTTTTCCCTTGTGGAATGAAATTACTCTTTGCTACAATGAAGTCATAGCTTTTAAAATGTGAGTTTTAAACCAGAAAAACTTTTTAAAAAAAAGTAGTTTATAAAGAGTACATATGGGCAATGTAGCACACTGCAAAACTAAATAAAAATGACAGGCTACAAAACGATGTACAGTATACTTCGTTATAACGGCCAGCCAATGTGCTAAATGGATTTGTAGATTAAGAAAAACAGTGGTCGTTAGGTGCCGTCTAGTGGGTTCCGGCTCATAAAGACCTAAGCACAACGGAAAACGCTGCCTGGTGCTGTGCCATTCTTAAAATACTTCGCTATGTTTGAGCTTATTGTTGCAGCCACTGTGTCGGTCTATTTCACTGAGGGCCTTCCTCTTTTTCACTGACCCTTTACCAAACATGGTGTCCTTCTCTAAGGACTGGTGGTCCCTTCTGATAACATTCCAAAGTACATCTTGCCATCCTCGCTTCTAAGGAGCGTTCTGGCTGTACTTCTTCCAAGACAGATTCATTCTTCTGGCAGTCCATGGTATATTCAATATTTTTCACCAACACGGTAATTCCAAGGCACCAACTCTTCTTCGGTCTCCCTTATTCATTGTCCAGCTTTCGTATGCACAAGGAGCAATTGAAAATACCATGGCTTGGGTCAGGCGCACCTTCATCCTCAAGGTGATGTCTTTGCTTTTTAACACTTGGAAGGGGTCTTTTTAAAGGAGCAGATTTGCCCAGTGCAATATGTTGTTTGATTTCTTGACTGCTGCTTCCATGGGCATCGATTGTGGATCCAAGTAAAATGAAATCCTTGACAACTTCAACCTTTTCTCCGTTTATCATGATTTTGGTTATTGGTCCACTTGTGAGAATTTTTATTTTCTTTGAGGTGTAATCCATACTGAAGGCTGTGGTCTTTGATCTTCCTCAGTGAGTGCTTCAAGTCCTCTTCACTTACAGCAAGCAAGGTGGTGTCATCTGCATATTGCAGGTTGTGAATAAATCTCCTCCAATCTTGATGCCACGTTCTTCAACAGTCCAGCGTCTTGGATTATTTGCTCTGCATATACATTGAATAAGTATGGTGAGAGAATATAACCAGCCCTTAAAGAAGTTCCAATAGACCAAAATACTAACATTATTTCTAAAAGGCAAAAGTATAGTTGACTTTTATTTTCTTCTATAGGCTTTTCTTTGTAAAATTTGTTCACAATCATGAAATACAGTTTATATTTAACTTTAAGTTCATCCAGTTGAGTTATTTTGAAATAAAACGATAGTTTAAAGGTTCTTTATGTTTGCAGAATCTGTTGTCCAGCTACAACAAAAATACCAAAACTAGTTTCATAACAATACTAAGATATTATCTGTCTTTTTTTATTCTTACTCAGAAATATACAGTGGAGTTTTCCACTCTAGAATTGGAAAATCTGTATACTTTAGTAGACCAGTATTTTCCAACGGACCAACACATGTTGTTAGAAAATCATTCATGGGTAAAAGATAAATTCAAACTCCAAGATAAATCAACTAATTTTAATGCAAGAGAATACCTAAAGCTCATTAATACGGTTTTAGATTTCTCATTACCCCTCACTAATCTTTAAGAAACTACCATTTGTTAAATTTTGATGTAGTATCAAAAAAGAACGTCCAAATTATCTGAAAAGGCTATTAAAATACTCCTTCTCTTCTAACGATCTGGTAGGGAAAAGATGGAGTCCCTGGTGGTACGAACAGTTAATGTGATCTGTTGCTAACCAAACGGCTGGAAATTCAAGTTCACTCAGAGGTGCCTCACAAGAAAGGCCTGGCAATCCACTTCTGAAAAATCAATTGAAAACCCTGTGAACCACAGTTGTACTCTGACACACAAGGGATCACCATCAGTCAGAATTGATTCAACAGCAACTGGTTTTGCATGGGGTCTGGTGATGCCACACACAATCCTGCACAAAAAACATAAGGTGTCCTCTATCCCAACCATCTTTTGACTGTCCCACCATATTCTAATGTAGGTAAAAAGCCTGTTTGTTACTGTTTGAGCTTAGAACCTACTTTCATTTCACATGTAAACACTGTTGGCTTGCATAGTTTCCATGCTGAATTTTCCAGGAATGCAACTATTACGTTGTTTTTGTTGTTACATGGAACTTAATCAAGAGTTGTTCACCAATCCAAAGAACTACCATCTACAACAACCCTGCTCATCGTATTTGAGTCACCAGTATCAATTTGTATTTACGGCTGGTGCATTCTTGGTGGTTCTAATTTTCATAAATATATACAAATTAAGCCCTTGTTTAAAAAAATACTATATGTAATGTTGAATATTAAGAAATGGTGTTGAGAATATTCATTTGAATGTTTAAACGTGCCCGTTCCGACAACACAGTTATTTCTAATTCATTTAAAAGGTGAACCTGGCAAGATTAAGTGAACATTTTATAAAGAAAGACACAAAGTTGGCAAAGACAAACGTCAGAGATTTAAGAAAAGTTTAAAAATCATAGTGTTGTCTCTGAAGTGGTTTTTTTGAAATCTAATCTGATGGATATAAGATTTCATTTCTTATAGAATAGCTCAAATGATAGCAATGAGTGGTAATCCAAACAATATTGGAGAAAAATGAACTTTATCAGCTGTATAAGAGATTATTATGGTGGTAAGAAATTTAATTTCTTCTATTCTATTGAGCAATCGTGTTGTATGTAGAAGGATCTATGAGAATTCCAAAGACGTAAGTAGAAAACCAGCTGAGAATGATCTGTAGTCAAAAGACTTTTTGTTGCAAGTGACGGCAAGTAGCCTGTATGATGATGAAACTGCTGATCACAAATGAAAGATTCACGGGGAATGAAAAAAGTTGTGGAGAAAATTTATTCTCAAATGTATAGATAATGGATACCAAAAGTTGTCAAAATTTGAAACTTTTAAAGATTATTTCACAGGAAAAAATTTTTTCCTTTTCCACTGTTATTGTGCAGCAGATGGAGCAGCAGCTATGGTCAACTTGGAGATCAGCAGAACTGTTGGAAGGAGCATGGGAAGCAGGGCCTTCTCAGTTCCAAAGGGTGGAGCCACAGCCTCCTAGGTTTCAAAGAGTTGTATCTTTACCAACTCGGTTCCAGAGTGTGGAGCTGCCATTAAGGTGTGCCATGGGGATTTGGCCATCACTCAGAACTGAAGGGGTGAGGCTGCCATGCCCAAGGGGCAGAAAAACAGGGCCTGTCAAGGCTGATGGGGTGGGGTTACCACGCAGATGGACTAGGAGAGTGGGACTGCCCAAAGCCAAGGGAACAGAGTTGCCATTCCTGTGGGCCTGGAAGGCAGAGCTGAAGCCCAGGGCTGAAGGGCCTCCATCTAGAATCCAGAGTACATGGCCAACACCCAGGGTCTGGAGGACAAGGCCGTTGCCCAGATGGTCTCACAGAACAAGGGATTGTTTTCAAGCCTTGAGAGCTAATGTAAATTGTTCTGCTGGATTTTGGACTTGCTTGGTGCCCGTTATCCCTTCTTTCCCTCCAATTTCTCCCATTTGTAATGGAAATGTCTACCTTGTGCCTGTTCCACTACTGTACTTTGGAAACAGGTAACTTGTAATCTAGATTTCATAGGTTCACAGATGAAGAGGAATTTTGCCACAGGATGGAATATGCCCAAAGTCTCACTTATATTTGATTTATATGCTTCAGAAGATGAGATTTTAGATTTGGAGTTGACTTAAGACTTTTGTGATGATGTATGCAGTGAATGTGTTTTGCATGTGGCAAGGACATGAATTTTTGAAGGCCAAAGGGTTGAATGTTACGGATTGAATTCTGTCCCCCCAAAATATGTGTTTTAAATCCTCATCTTTATGCCTGTGGTTATAATGCCATTTGGGAATGGGTTGTGTTTGTTATGTTAATGAAGCAGGATTAGTATAGGGTGTATCTTGACTCAATCTTTTTGAGATATAAAAGAGACTAAACAAGCGAGCAGAGATGGATGGAGAAGGATGCCAAATCACATGAAGACTGTCCAGGAGCAGAAGCTCAGAAGCGATAAGGACCTTCCTCCAGAGCTGACGAGCCAGCAATCTGAAGTCAGAGTCCTAGCCTCGTAAACTGTGAGAAAATAAATTTCTGTTTGTTAAATCCACCCATTTCTGGTGTCATGAATTGAATTGTGTCCCCGAAAAATACGTATATCAGTTTGGCTAGGCCATGATTCCTGGTATTGTGTTATTGTTCACCATT